TGCATACACAGGTGCGCACATCTCTTCCCACCTGCTGCAGCCGCAGAGCCTCCAGTTCACGCTCCAGCCGTGTGCGCAGTCGGTGTTCCCGCTGCTCGCGCTTCTCGCAGGCAGCCTGCAGCTGCGCCAAGGCTTGTTGCATGCGCTCCACCTTCTCCACGTACACCTGCTTCTTCTTCAGCTGCAGGGGGAGGACAAGAGTGTCAGGTGCACACCCCCTCCATCCTCCTAACATCCTCACAACGTCTCCGGTCAGCTGGAGGTTAATCCCAGCCCCCAGCCCCCAATCTCACAAAGATCTCCCTCATGCCACCTCCAGCGCATTGGTAAACATGGCCTCGCTCCCCGACCCGGAGAAGGCAAGACTGGTTCTGTGACAGGACACCGGACCACAGTGGAAAAACCAAACCACCTCTGAGTGGCGAGGAACGGCGTCCGGCGCAGGAGAGGAACAAGCGCGCATTTGTGGGGAATCCAGGCACAGAAGCAGAACAATCCGGCGCTTCAGGGCTCTCTGCCCCCCCCCCCCCCGAATCGCTGCGACCTCGTTAATGGGCCATCTGGGAGCGGGCCAGGACGTTTCAGAACAGAAGGACGGCGGACCCGATCGGCACTCGGAGCCTCTCCAACTTCACAGTGGGGGGGGGGTCCTTTCTGCTCGAATGAAAGGCCGCTTTTGGCCTAGCGTTCCCCAGAGCCCGACCTAGCCACCCCCCCATGGGGTCCCTGTACACTATCTCCTCACTGGACCGAGCGGATCATATCACGGGGGGTAGGGGGCACTTGAACTTCAAAAGGTGGCGGTTCTGCAGAGGTGAAGCACATACAACTGGATCCTTAGAACCTACCCTTTAACAACCACGTTTGGAATTTGATGTATCATCGTAAAAACAATCTGACAGAAGTAGCTTCAAACGGCTGAAGGATCAGGTCCAACAAGGGTGGTGCTTCTTTATGATTTAGCAATTATTATGCCGGCAAAACAATACGGAAGGTATGGAACAAAACATACATAAATCAATCGCTCCCGGGCCATCCCACAGAAAAAAGTCACACGAATACAGCAGTTTAGCTGGTAAACAATCTTACAGTGAGTGAGTTTTTGGGTTAAAACTCGCCCTACTCTAGTAATTCAGCTGCATGCAAAACTCTAGACGGAGGCTAAACGCAATTCACGTTGTCAATAGCAACAAATGACGTCACGTAGTGAAGCCTTTCAAGCATAAGTAAGACGGCACCGCTTCTTCATGCGGAGTTTTCTGGGAAATCGGGAATTACAGGCAGGTCTCGGGCTTATGTGAGACCAGCTTAAGTGAATCTGAGATACGGTACCTAGAGTCATGGCCGTAGCCGAAGTGCTAGCCCATCCTAGCTGGGTCCTGGAACGGACTGTGGTCATTGGTGTTGCAGAAAAAATACTAAGGACTAGATCTTGTTGGTAGAGTTCATGGAAGCACCGATGCAAAAAATGGTGACATACGCTTGAGTAAAATTTACTCTTTATCTTTTCTTTCATCTTTTTTAATCTATTTTTCTTTAGCATAGATATAGTTTTGGTTCATGTATTTTTTAATCGCAAACGAGCATGCTAATGTCACAATAATTTATTTTTTTTTGTACGTCGGTCGAGAGTTGCCTGCGCATCCTTTAGAGCTGGGGAGGGAATTGTATTTGCACTCTGGTTGGACTTTAAGCTGGTCCACCCACCTCCTCCTCTAGCTTGACCACCCTGGCCTGCGCATTGTTCAGGGCCTGGTCGCGGATCTCGATGTGCCTCCGCTGGTCCTCATTGGTGGAGCGCAGGGCGTTGAGTTCCATCTCCAGCTTCTCCTTCTCACGCAACGTCTCCTTGTCTGCAGGCACACGGACACCGCACATGGAAACAGGAACACGCGCTGGCCGCGTCTGGCCAAGGAGACCGCGAGGTCACACGGAGCCTACGGCGAGTAGCTCTGATGTCATCTACCAGGCTTTTATCAAAAGCCAATTTCTCATCCATCTGTCCACCTTCGAACAGTTTCTCCTGGTTAGGCTCACACATAATCATACAAATGACAGGCACCAATTAACTGCATGTCATTGGACTGGGAGTAGGGTTGATTGTAGAAGGGCAACACCCTTATCAGCCAATCATATGTTTCGAATGGATGAGTGACGGCGGAAGGGGCATTCCGGGGGCCAATCAGCTTTCAGCCGTGGCCCCGCCCCTGCATGGGAGGTAACCCATGTGACACAGGTTAAGCATGCAGACTCCACACACACACACACACGCAGGGTTCAACCCCCTGCTGCACTGTAGGTGTGAGGCAACATTACTGCCCACCAATTACATGCTAGATTTGCATTAATTATCCATATTGTTTTCATTAGGCACTTCACTCAAGCAGTATGACTGTGTACTTTGAGTAAAAACTGCTTTCTCAGCTTTTCAGAAGAGACGGGATGAAAAGCCACAAGGTGGGTGGAATGAATCATGAGCTGTCAATCAGCGATTTAATCCAGTGACCAGCTGCTGACACACCAGTCCCAGAATGCCTGTGACCAGCTGTGGGACCAGTGGGGGTTTCTCAATGCCAAACACGCAAAGATCATACTTGTGGTCTTGGCAAGAGCCGTCTTGCTAACTTGCCTCCCAAGAACGAACTTGGGGTGCAATGAATCACAGGATTGGCCTCGTTCGGCGAGGATGCAACCGACGCATCCTTGATATCTAGATTTTTACCATCCTCTGTACTTCTGTTTTTGAGTATCGGAACTGGCAATGGTAGATGACATCAAATGGGTACACGAGGAAACAAGTACGGTCAAATACACATATTGAGAAACACCCAGTTACAGTACAAGGGCTATAAATCTGCAAATATATAAA